GTCATAGAAGGAGATCAGGTTGGTCAAGCAGGACCTGCCTTTCATGAACCCATGCTGGCTGGGTCTGATCCCTTGGTTGTCCTGCAGGTGCCCTGTGAGCACCCTCAAGATGAACCTCTCCATCATCTTCCCCAGTTACCAAGGTCAGGCTGACAGGCCTGTAATTCCCTGGATCCTCCTTCCGGCCTCTCCTGTAGATGGGCATCACACTGGCAAGCCTCCAGTCATCTGGGATCTCCCCTGTTGACCAGGGCTGCTGATAAATTATGGAGAGTTGCTTGGCAAGCTCCTCCGCCAGCTCTCTCAGTGCTCTTGGGTGGATGCCATCAGGCCCTGTAGACTTCTGGGTGTCCAGGTGGCAAAGCAGGTCATTAACTGCTTCCTCCTGGACTATGGGGAGTTTATTCTGCTCTCCATTCCTTGTTTTCCAGCTCAGGGAGCTGGATACCCTGAGGATAACTCATCTGGCTCTTAAAGACTGAGGCAAAGGCGGCATTTAAGTACATCAGCCTTGTCGTCATCCTTGGTGACAATGTTCCCACCCATCCAATAAGGGATGGAGATTACCCTTGACTCTCTTTTTGTTGTTAATATATTTGTAAAAGCATTTTTTGTTATCCTTTACGACCGTGGCCAGATTGAGTTCTATCTGGGCTTCTGCCTTTCTAATTTTGTCTCTGCTTGACCTAACAAAATCTTTGTACTCTTCTTGAGTTGCCCACCCCTTCTTCCAAAGGCAATAAACTCTCCTTTTATTCTTCAGTCCCAGCAAAAACTTCCTGTTCAGCCAGGCTGGTTGTCTTCCCTGCCAGCTCATCTTGTGGCACATGGGGACCGCCCCTCCTGTGCCTTTAATATTTCCTTCCTGAAACTAGTGACCTGAACAGGCCCAAGTCTGCTCTCCGCAAGTCCACGGTAGTGGTTTTATTGACGCTCTCTTTACCTCACCAAGAATCGAGAATTCTATCATTTCGTGGTCGTTAAGCCCAAGATGGCCTCCAACCATCACATCTCCCACCAGTCCTTCTCTGTTTGTAAACAGAGGTACCTCTGTTTTCCTCAGAGTGGTAAACCTCAGGTACCTCAGAGGTCAAGCAAGGTACCTCCCCTGGTAGGCTCACTTACCAGCTGTGTCAGGAAGTTATCTTCCACACACTCCAGGAACCTCCTAGACTGTTTCCTCTCTGCTGTGTTATACTTTCAGCAGATGTCTGGTAAGTTCAAGTCCCCTACAAGAACAAGGGCTAGCGATTATGAGACTTCTGCCAGCCACTTGTAGAATGCTTCGTCTGCCTCTTCGTCCTAGTTGGATGGTCTATAACAGACTCCCAGCAGGATATCCGCTTTGTTTGCTTCTGCCCTCATCCTCACCCATAAGCACTCAACTTGGTCATCACAATCATTGATTTCTATACAATCAGAACACCCCCTAACATACAGAGCCACCTCACCACCTCTCCTCCCATGCCTATTCCCTCTGAAGAGCTTATAGCCATCTATTGCAGCACTCCAGTCATGAGTCATCCCACCATGTTTCTGTGATGGCAACTACATCAGAGCTGTCCCGCTGCACAATGGCTTCCAGCTCCTCCTGTTTGCTGCCCATGGTGTGTGCATTCGTGTAGATGCACTTGAGCTGGGCTACTGATTTCACCCCCAACATCGGCATGCCACCCCCCTAGGCTCATCTCTAGTGGGCCTGGTTTTACCTCCTTCCTCCTTTCAATCTAGTTTAAAGCTCTCTCGAGATCACAACCAGAAGCCCCTTCCAACCTCAATTATCGTATGTTTTTATGTATTCATACAGCATCAGCATGCTGATGGTGCAGAGAACGGCTACATTTATTAACTAAGTAGAACTGAGGCACCACCTTCAATGCTTATTTACTCCTTAAGTTCCCCTATGACCTGCCTCTTCTCCATTTATCAACCTGGCTTCTCTGACTCCTACTTCATTAGTAAAAATCACTAACATACCAGAAACGTTGCAGGAAAATAAATAAAATCTGTGGGTTTCTCAAAAATAAAGCTGTATCTTAAGTATGAAAAAAACATACTGTCACAAAATATCCTAGCACTGCTATGTTAGCAGCAGGGGGAGCTATGAATGCAGCAATGATAGACAGTTCCAAACTAGTGCTATATTTTTAAATGCTTCAACAAAGCCAAATACCTGTCTTAGCTGCTGGATGAGTTAAAGACTGACTATGCCACAGGTAACAGAATGCTTCCAGAGAAACATCTGTAGAAGAGTATGAAAACAGGATGGTTCTGAAATACACTACTACAAACTACAAAATCTTACAATCCACAAAAAAAGGACGAAACACCTCCTCCTTCCAGCAGTTTTGCATTTTCTAAAATAAAGGAAAAATATTTCCAGTCCTTTCTGGAAATAAAGGGAAACTAGCAAACTGGTGAAACTATTAATTGTGGAAGTACTCATTTAGTCCCATTTTTAAAGCAGCCATAATTCATGGCATGTCTTTGGAATCATCTCTTACAAAAAGACTCACTGTATGCCTACATGGCATTAATTCCCTAACTTATATGACTGAAATGTTCACAACTTTGAAGTTATCAATAGATGTTCACATATTTCTTAGACAGTGCTTCCTCACAAACAAGTTAAAAATGATTTTAGCTCCATTCCCTTAGAACTTTTAATAAAAGGAAAGGCAAAGGAAATGTGGTTGTGATTAACTTCTGTACAATGAATCTGTACTTAAGCTGTAGAAAAATGCAACCTTAATTCATAGAGCCCCTTTTTGGACCACCTGTCCACAGTTCAGGTTCCTAAGTTACTGTTCATTCCCATAAAAAAAAGTGAAGAGAGTTAGCTCCAAGAGCAGTCCTCAGTGCTACTGACTGCTTTCACGCACAAAGGAATAATCTGTTCTATATCAATTCATAAATACTGCCTGGACACAGAAAATCTTTTGAATAAATCTACGTCTCAGATGGTCCACTTTCATTCAACTCCACTGCACTGAACGGAACAAAATACCAGTCACACAGTTTTTTTCCAAATGGCTTTATCTTCCATTTTTTGCAAATGGGACACTTCCAAAAGAAACTGAAACACATGAACTCATGATGCACAATATACCACAAACATGTAACGATTTGAGAGGTGTAGAATACTACACAATACTAATATTGTCACAGTATCTTTGATACTAGGCTGCACACTCTCCTCTATTTGTGCCACTGCCTGCTGCGCCTCCTCCTCAAATATGGGACAGTGCTACCTGCGTGACCCCTCTGCTTCAACAGTACGGTTGCTGGGACAAACTCAGCTTCCCTTCTCCAGCAAAATGCTGATGCCAAGCAGAGCAAAGGTTTGCAGAGGGACAGCAGATCCCTAAAAGGAACTCTATGTGAGTAAGGGTTATGCCAGAGTAGGAAGTCCTATAAACCAAAAGGTGGGGGGGACACAGTACAGCATATGGATTAGCAGGCCAAATGCCCACCAGTATCACTTCACACAGACTCCAGGCTGTGGTGAATGTTTCCAAAAAAAAAGACTATCTTCCTTAGCAAGATTTTCTATGGGGAAAGGGTGACCAGCAAAGGACAAAAGCATCTGTGACTGAGAGCTATTCCCCAAAACCCCATTGCTCCTTAAAAAAAGGTCTAGTCCCCTTATTAAAAAGGTTTAGCTGGTTGCCAAGTATAATTTTATTTTTGGTACTGTCATTCAGAAAGATTTAAAGAGCACCATCCATAATTACTAGAAACTGGAGCTGGTACACTATGTCTTTATTCTACCCATAGAGGAAAATGCATTGTAAGTTAGACATCTGCCAAAGATTAGAATCAAGTACCTGTAAGACTGCCAACACTAAAGACTCTAAAACTCATGACTTGCTTCTGTTTGTACCCTCAAACTGATCAATAACACAGTGTCTCTAGTAAAGCTAGTCACTGGGACAGGACTGCCAAGCAAACAAACAAAAAGCCCACAAACACAAAAGAAACCCCCTCTCCCCACAAGAGCAACAAAAACCAACACAGATTTGAAAATCTGACAATAAGTTAGTGTATGGGTGACACGTAGTTGAAGGTCCCCTTTATTAGTAGTCCCAGAAGGGCAGATAGAAGGATCTCACTATTGTATGATCTGGAAAGCACCACATGTACCTTCAGGTATGCTGACAAAGAAAGTGTTGGGTTTTTTGTTTGGATGGGGTTTTTTTGTCCTTTTTTTATTCAACCACTATAAAAATCTAGCTTTTAAGAAGTGCAACATCTTGCAGATTTACAGGAATCCACTGCAACGATGCACCTTTTAAAATGTCAACCTGCAATCTCTTCCTGACACAGTTCTAGACCGTGACTCCATCACAGAAAGATCTTATGACAAATCTTTGGTTACAGCCCCTGAAACCAACATGATCAAGGGCACAGCATCCTACACAATAAAAAGCCTGTCCTCTCAAAAGAAAAATTTCAGACAAGATACAGATTCTAAACCCACCTTGTAAATGCATGGCTAAATGTTCCTATCATGCAACATCTGAATAGACTGCAATGTTGACAAAAGAGTCTGACCAAGGAAAAGCATTTGTCAAACTTACTTAATTTTTAAATGTTTTTCATTACAGCAGCAAAATTGCCTGATATGACAGAAGTCCTTACTAATTAAAAATCAAACTACAGTACAGCAAGACACCACAAACATCCAACACTAAGCAAATCACATAGTTAAAGCAAAAACTCCGAACTCGGAAATCACAATACAAGGAATCACTTGTAAAACTGACTCCAGAGTGACAGGGCAGAAATACTAGTTCTATTTTGCTTCTGTGAATGGTACTCTAGTGGTGGTGCTAGAATGGAGAATCTACCACATTAGCTCTGTAATAAAGCTATTCAGCTGCATTCTTTCAGTAGAGGCAGAGTTAAATCTTATGTTCAATAAATAGGCCAAATCCACAAATTGCAACACATACTACATACACTGGATCCAGAGCAATACCAGAGGACAGCAGAGAGAAGTATTGCAATATACCTTGATCGTTGAAGACTTCGTGGAGAGGCAGGCTCATGACCTGCCTGCTTGTCAGCTATTACTGGCTGCTGAGGTGCTGCCTGTGAAGCTGGTCCTTGTTTAACACCTGGAGTAGCAACCTGGAAAGTTCAAAACTTCATTAGATTTCCTCCACAGTAAATATCAAGTGTAAGAACCAGAGGAAAACATGGAAATTACAAGTTACAATACCAGTGGCGTTTTTTGATACAAGGTCATTTTTGACAGAATTTTTATACTCTTCATAAGGTGTTTTTTAAAAAAATAATCTCTAGTTCCGTACCTGTGATAGCTAGCTCTTTTTATGAAAATAGAAAAGAGTACTTAATAGACGTAACAGAAGCAAATTTAGAACCGTCTGACTTGTCAAAATATTGTAAGTTTATTAGGTAAAATAGTTCAACACAATTTCACTTTTGACCATATCTTCCATGTGAGCACCGAGCTCATTTTCAGCCTCAGAAAAACTGTTCATTACCCAAATAAAAATTTTCAGTTAAAAAGTTAAAAATTCCCTACTTGAAAACACATTACACTGTGTCAAGAGCAGAATTAGGTCACAACCGTACTATAACATCTCTATCATAAGTTGAAAAAAAAAAAAAAAGCAGCGTATTTATCAGTCTGCTACTCCCCCTTTTTAACTGTTCTGTCAGTTCTAAACTAATGAATGACTAAAAAAAAAAAAAAAGTCATCAGTAGCTTTTTGCTTTTCCTTTGTAGTACACATCCACATTTAAGATATTAAGACACCAGCAGTGAGACACTGTCTTTTTGCTGTGAATTCCTAAACAAAAACAGGATGAAAAGTTTGGGAATATACTGGCGTCTAAGTTACAGTCATGGAGTTCAAGTTACTTCCCCCCCCGCCCTCGCCCTGTCCCTTTTAAAGTACGTACAAGAGAGGAAGCAGCTCCAAAATTTATCCCCCACTCTAGCTAACAATTTTAAGAAAGAGGAAGGGAAGAAAAATGGGTTCTAGGGAAAAAACATAAATCAGACAGCCTGTCTGGCATTTGCTGACATCAAGCTGGTGTACATTACTAACTAGTGGTCATCTGAACCTCCAGAAATTCTCTCAGTTTCAGAAACAGACCCCTGTGAAACAAACCACAGATGGCAAGTCAGACAGTATCTGCTAAAGTAAACTCAAGACATAACTTCATTTATTTAAACATACAGGAAATCTTAACTGTAATCTCAAACCTACTTATAAGAGGAAAACCCACATCTTAAAATTATCATCAAAAGCCAAGAGAAGTCTGAATAGCACATGAAAAGCTCATGATTCTGGAAGGATAAAGCACGATCATTGTAAGATCACTCAGTGTGTTGAAATTGGAATTATTACAGTTGAGGGGGTCGAAATAGTACCAGTTCATAAATTCATTTATGAAAAAAGTATCTTTATGAAATGTATGACATGAACTTTGCTATTAATTCCTGAATTTTGCTCACCCTGTGAGCAGACATAACTATCGAGACTGTTCAAAGCAGAAGGAACGATTTCAAAAGGAAAGTACAGAGACAATACAATCACCTTGCAGATCCAAACTGGAAAACTAACCAGCTCCTTGGCTGGTAAAAATAAAAACAAAAATGTAAAGAAAATCTGGGACTTGCCAGACAAGTGAGCCACAAAAAACTCAACTATTCTCTATCTTCCAACTGTTTCAAAGACTGTAAGTAAGTATACCAGGAACAGAAAAATAATAAGGCTAAAAAAAGAGCCATAAACAACATTCTCACTGAGCATGGCAGATTTGTGTACCATGCTTTACACAGTTATTTTGCAGAAATTCAGGACATTTTCTAACCCTAAAACACCAGCACAGCTAAATAGCAAAATGTGATGCCTAGGATCCTGGAGTCTGCGACACCTGAGCTGCCACATCCATACACAGCACACCTCCAGGCAGACATACCAGCTTCATTTTAAAAGCAGTACAGACATGTTCATGCAGTCCTAAGTAACAGACCTTACTGTGCAAATGGCACTACACTGTTTCCAGAGCCAGCCTAACTGTACATCTGGCACTGGGCTCTGCTTGCACAGTGCCAGTTCAGCTTTGTCTGTGCCGGCTGCGTAGAAGCACCCTAAGCCAACTAGCTTGTGCTCTGAAACCAAATGTGTCTTGGCACAGCATCACATCTTGATTATGCATAATTTACCTCAAACTCTTAGGACTGGATAAGCTAACCTAACTGACATATCCAAAGGAGTACTAAACCAGACATGCTCACACTGGAGCCATCACCACTTAAGTTCTCATCTCAATCCCATCTTACAGAAGATTGAATTCTGCGAATACAAGAACTGGCAAGAAAGTTCTTTCTCTACTGAACCGGAAAAGTATCCACTGCTGAATCAGAATTTGCTTCTTCTGGGACTAACACACAAACAATTAATGTTAATATTTTAACAGCTCTGTTGGTAGCACCAGATGTGAGAAACACAAAAACGAAGAAAAGATCCTGCTGTCAAGCGTTACTAGTAATTCTGTTTAGCTGATCTGTGAAGCTACTTGAGGTACGTAACACATAGAAAGCTTTTACGGTTGTGATATGCCAGTGTAGTAAGAGTTATAACTTCCTCACAGAGGGATGGGAGTGCAAACTTGCCAGTGCATAAAATAATGCACAACAGTCCATCAGGATTAATAAGCATTCTGAAGCAAGACATCATAGCTTAGAATGAGTAACTCAGAAATTTACTACACTTAACACTTCGATTGCAACCACACTATACATCCTTCAAAAATAAACCAGATGTGCAATCTCACTTCATTGTGGTGCAATCTTACGGAAAGATGGATTAAAATACAGTAATTTCAAAATGTGTCACAGTATGCTGATCAAAATATAGATGTCACCACTTTCAGAAGAACTTCTATATATGTACCAATAAAACATACAATACCCTACTTTGAAAATACCAGAGATGAAAGCCTGCATGCCAAGTCACTAACTATAGGCAATCACAGAGCCCTGCATGTAAGTGGAGATTCTCATATCAGACAAAACATAAAATAACCAACACTTTTTGTTGTTTTTTGAGGAGTGGCAGCTTTGCTGTAGTTATGACTTAGACTAAACTCAGATGAACTCTTCTCAAACCTGCATTTGGCCTTGAAGTTTTTTTGCTTCTACCAAAAACCTTGTGTGTCCAAAAGCATATTCAATTATACAGTTGGTCTACCAAGATTTTCTCTTAAGGTATAGTTTACACCACCTAATTCACAGGTATAATACTGGCCTTTATATATAAAAGTATATATTATACTGGGTAAAAGGCAGTGGGTTCAAGCTCATCTGCACAGTTCTAGGAGAATTTTTGTAGCAGAGTGATGAATACTGAACAAGCTAAGTTTATAAAACAAGGATAAATGTCTTTGGGGGGTGGAATCATAGAATCATAGCACGGTTTGGGTTGGAAGAGACCTTTAAAGGTCATCTAGCCCAATTCCCCTGCAATGAGCAGGGACATTTTCAGCTAGACCAGGTTGCTCAGAGCTCCGTCGAACCTAACCTGGAGTGTTTCCAGGGATGGGGCATCTACCACCTCTCTGGGCAACCTGTGCCAGTGGTTCACCACCCACATTGTGAAAAATTTCTTCCTTCGATCTGGTCTAAATCTGCCCTCTTTTAGTTTAAAACCACTACCCCTTGTCCTATTGCAAGAGGCCCTGCTAAAAAGTCTGTCCCCATCTTTCTTGTAAGCCCCCTTGCAGTCCTGGAAGGCTGCAATAAGGTCTCCCTGGAGCCTTCTCTTGTCTAGGCTGAGCAACCCCAACTCTCTCAGCCTGTCCTCATAGGAGAGGTGTTACATCTAGCACACGGATATATAGCAGCAATACTTAATATTACCCATAATGGTTTCTTAATACAATATGGCATAAATCAAAAGGAGCTTACCTTCTGCTGAGATGATACTGGTGGCGTAGTCATCAAAGGTTTAAGCGGAACTGTGTTAGTCTGAGGCGTGCTTATTCTTGGAGATACATATGATCTTGGCGATGAGGCATCAGATGTTAAAGACATTGGAGACTGATTAGATGGCTGAGCTGCAAAGAAAAAAAAAAGATTTGTTTTTAATAAAAACATATCCTATCTTAAATGTAAATTAGATTTTCTTTTAGTACTTTGCAGTATGCTGTATTAACTAATACACAAACATATTCACACTGAGACGGTTGAGGGGGTGAACAACTGGAACAATGAAATATTCAACAACAATCCTAACTAAAGAATTGTATTTTCCCCAAACCCTCCACTTCTAAAACTTGAGGGGAGGGGGAAAGAGAAGAAGCCATTATGCAATGCTTCTTACATATGAAGACTAGATTAGTTTCATTTGTGGTTCTGAGCTTACAGTGCTTAATGCGATTTAACCAAAAGAATGAACAGTTTATGTAGAAAGCTATTCACCCATTCCAGGCATCTACCAATAGTCCCCCACCCATGTTTTAATTACTGGTTAAAAATTAGCATTAGCATAATACTGCTTACCTACTCAATAACATGACTGCATTTATTGTTTTGGTTTAAGTTTCTAGCTTTATTAAATTACAAACCAGAATGAAGATTCCTGAAGGAGTATCTTGCCTGGAAGCTGAAAAATACTATTTACAGAAGACTACCCCCCACCCCGCCCCGATAGAATAAACTTTTCATTTAAGAATTGAAGGCCCCCCCCTCCAAGAGTCATAGTTGCACAGTACTACAAAAAGGTGTTCAACCAAGGAAGAGTTGTATTTTATACTGAACATTAAATAGAGTCTAATTAAGGTTCACGGTAAACTGAGAGGATCTCACACATTTCACATTACTCAGAGTTAGTTACCATACAAAGAAAATCCCAAAAGGCGTGACAGAGAAGCACATTTACTTAGTTGCATGTCAGCTTCCTGCTCCCCAAGTAACAATTTCTTATCCTATCTTTGGAAAAAGACGTCATTCGACACCCTCCACACCAGACGGCCAAAGACAGGAGAAGAGGCAGCTTCTGCAAGTTTCAATTGTATCAGCCTTTATAAAATGCAACGTAACAATTTCACGTAAGTGAAAAGAAGATTGTGAATACCTTGCGTAGACAGTTGTGCAGCTTGAGAAATTAGGGAAGTGATATTGAAAGCCGATGGTCCAGCAGTAAGAATTTTATGGAGTATAGACTGAAGAGAGGCTTGTGTCACAGCTGCTGTTAGAACTAAAAAAAAAAACCAAAACATTCTGGTTTACCAGCAATTCTAGAACATCACTTTAAACTGTTCAAACTGGGTAAATATATTTAAGCCACATTTTCTTTCCAATTTTGTTCCTGTATCCACAATAGACCGAAGAGCCACCTGAACTGTTTTTCAATGATTGAATTCAATTCATGAATGCTTGGCATGTCTAACCAAGTCCTGTATTTAGTAGTTTTATCTTTGAGAGATACACTAAAAAAATTCATTTAGAAAATAACTTTTAACTCTTTAGCTTGACCTTATGGATCAATAATAGTTCTTGTAAACGTAAGTAAGAGTATTTGTTCAATTTCTTATTGTAGTAAGCAGAATGTGTGGGGTGTTTTTTTTAAAAACTAAAATAATTTTTTTAATAGGCAAAAAAGCAGTATCACTGTAACTCACTAAAAAAGACTAGGAAGGAAGACTTCCTGTTCAAGGAAAAAGAAAAGATCTTTCAAATTAAAAATCCAAACACTCAGGTTTCTTCTCCCTGCCCCCCAACGAACCAAACATATTTGTTCCTAGTTTAGCTGTCCTGTCCTCACCTCCTCCAGTAAAAAATTAATAGTTTTCAACCGTTTTAAAACTGCACTACACAGGAAGAACATCTTACAGTATGAGCTGATGAGACCCAATTTCTGAACTAATCTTTTCAAAAAGGTTTACAGGCTCTGTGGGATACTTCCTGAACATACACTACCCATGCACAAGTCTGAAAAAACTGACTCACCAGCACAAACACAGAACCACCTCTTGATTGGACCTTTCCTTTTTTTAACACAAACAACCACGATACTCCTATTTTTTTAATCCAACCTAGTGCACTACAGTTTTAAAAGCTTCTCCGTGCACAGGAAAAATCAGTAACCAACTTGCCTATTAGTACTGAATAAAGCCATAATGTTTGCTGATTAAAAGGATCAATTGACAGCTTTTCCTTATAAATAATTGTAATGTACATAATAGTAGAATTTCAAGTAAAATGCCATTATTTTTACTTTCATGGTTTGCACTTCTAAAAATTTAAAGATCATTAACTCTGTGCATTACATGTAAATGTCTTGCTTTCTATTTAAATCAGTGATCACTGCACAAGAAGTTCAAAGAAGCAAACAAATCCCACACCACTTTCTTAATCAGTAACCTGCCACATGCAGACACTACATTAGATAAAATTACATTCAAAATGCATCAACTCTACCTGTTTTGCAGCAAAAGGCACTATAGCTAGTTCTAAACATTTTTCTAATAAACCAGGCCAATGTGACAAAAATCTAAGGGATACACTGATTACATATGCAAAACTCAACTTGCTAGCTAAATTACTGATATTTAGAGAGGGTAATATGTTCTGTTAAAGAAAAAACCCTGGTAGGCAACAAGATTTAAGAACTCCTAGAAGTTTCATTATTTGCAAACACACATTATTAGAATAGCAGCACAAACTACAAAAAGACCAAAGAAGATTGCATGAAACAACAGAACAAAAAGCTCTAAGTTTTGTGCAACAGATGAATGCTGATAAAGCGATTAAGTCACCAGTCTCAACTAGACTGTTCACATACATCAGCATTTATTAGCTTAACAACCTTAAATGTTACTTGGCTAATTTAAAAAGGTTTAACAGACTCCCCCAAACAGAAACAATCCTCACTTGATCAGGGATTCATTTATTCACTTTGCATTTAAAGTAAGGCTTGCATTTACTACCGCTTAGTATCCAATAAGATACTAATGTGTGTAAATAAGAGATTACATCAACTTTAAAGAATCCTTACCTTCATTGATTTTGGATATATCTACGCTAGAATTATTAAGCTGCAAGGTGGCTTGCAGAGCAGGCAGCAGCTGTCGAAGGAGATTTGGGTCCTGAAGTAACGGAGGAATTGGTGATTGTGGGACAGGTGAGACGGGAACTGTAGGAGCAGATGAAGCAGGCGCAGAAGCTGGATTCAGTCCAGAAGCAGAAGATGTAGAAGGAGTTGTGCAAGAATGGGATACAGACTTGTCCACAGATGCAGACTCTGAACAGAAGACAGACAGTAATTTTCATTTTCCCCAATATAACCTGACAGCTTCTCACTAGTACAATTTTTTTATTAAATTCAAAAGATGAATGCTTAACTATCATTACAAAATAAAACACAAATATAACAAGAATTGAAGATATCTGATATCTAGCGTAATTTGGGCTATTGAACCTAATATTTATTAGGAACACACACACACACAAAAATCTTTCTGCTTCAACGTATTGGACTGCAAGCTGCCAGTATTACAAATGGGAATTTTTTCGCCCTAATTTTTAGGGCAAACATAGGCCAAAAATTCCTTAGGGATTTTTTCTTTTACTGTGCCAATACTCATATTCTATGTTTTTACCCATGATTACAACCTTTCTTTGGAAAATATACTATGAACAAAAACCTTAGAGTCCATGGGCTTTAAAGATAGGCTGATACATCACATTTGAGGGGAGGGTATTAGCCATACTTCATTTATCCAGAGACCAGACTGCAAGAAGCTACAAAATAAAGACCACGTCTGTCATACACAATCCAGTTACATTTCTCAGGATTCACAAACAGGATAATGAGCTGTACTACTTTCACTAAATGTGAAACAAGAGCTGTTAACATCCCCACAGAGTGGAAAAACATCTAAAAATCTATCTGCCCATAATTAATTTCAAGCTTGTCAGTTTCTCCTGAAGCATGAAGACCTATATTCTTTACTTTATTATTCTCATTTTAGCAAATACCAACACTTAACAATCCACAGAAATACTTAGTACTTAAGAATCAATGATACTGTATGGCAATCTGTTTTACTTAACGTGAGTTATTTAATTAATTTTAAATTTGACTTCCAGTTAACATGCAAGTTTCTTCTCCATGCCAGTACTGTGATGAATTCCTGCACTGGAAGTATTTCCACTTACTACAGGTGTGCCATCAGTCACTTCAAATATCCTTCCTTTAAGAAGCCCAGACCACTGTATTTCAGTTTTAGCTTCCCCTTCTCTATCATCCCCATTAAACCCATGAGAGACCTCTACCCCTAAATTCAAAAAAGACTAATGCCTCTATAGCACCAAACAGGTTAGGTGAAGAGTGGAAAGATGGCTATGGATCCAAGATCTCACCCAGGATGCTTGCCCATAATACCAAAGACCTGGATTTTAAACCCACCTCAAACTGGACAGAGAATGCCAATCTGGATGTTCCACATTTCAGGCAAAAATCTAAATGGAAGCTAAAATAACCAGCTGGGAAACTCTTTTACTCTAAAGGTTTGTTAGGTTTGTTTTCTTTTTCTTTGGAGAGATGATCAAGGTAAGAGGTGGCTGACTTTTAATAAAGAAGAAAAATAAAAAGGTCTTGTTTTGTTTTACTACGCAAGAATAAAATTTAACAAAATTTCTAAAAGTTTCTGTTTTCTGACAGCCTTAATTGCAACTTTTGAGACTAATTTGGAGAAGAATCCTAAAAAAGTAAAAAATTACTGAAGCAAGTATCAATACATAAATCAAATGAGATCAGAAATCTCAATTAAAAGAAAGGAGACTTCTGCTTCCATGCAATTACGGTAGAAATAGTTCATAACAGGTCACAAATAGGAAAAAAAAAACCCCAAAACTTTTTCAGTCAAATAGCTGAGAAATCTAAACCAGAAAAAAAAAATGCTGAAGAATCCAAATTTGACAGCTTGCAAGGATGCCATAGCCAAGGCACACAGCTATATTTTGATGTTTTAGGCAAACTTCTAAAAAAGAGGTGGCCTTATCTAGTTACAAGCTCCTCAGGACAAGGAGTTGTCTTTCAATGTAGCTGTGAAGGGACCTGGTCATTTGGCCAGGAGCTTTCATAAGAACACCTTACAAAGGGACAAGAAGTGTTAGAAAGACCGAAGAGGAAAAAAAAGCAGTTACAAATTTTTTATACAATTTTTCAGTAACATGTGACTAGGACAGCTGATTAGGTATTAGCTCTGCCTTAAAACAGTACATCATTAGCAAAATTCTGTTACAGAATTATTACATACAAAATCTTATGCTATGGTGTTCAAAGTAAACTTAAGACAACTGCAAGTAAACACACATCAAGCAAACAAGAATCTTACCCTACTAAACAAAAACATGTAAAGTTTAAATTGAACTTTGATTTCTCATAGTGCGAATAAGGACAAGATACACTGGCAGACAAAAGTATGGGAATTAAGCACAATGGAGTATGTTAGCACTTGTACATAGAAGCCTCCTACCCTAGTTTTGAGAACCTTACAAAAAGACTAAAAAAACCCCATCCACCCCCAACAAACAACAAAACACCCTAATTTAAAAACAAACAAAACTGAAAAAAAATGCTAAGCAACAGCCAGCACTAATTTCAAAACATATTTAATGTAGTTAGGCTTGTCTTCACAGTTAGATTGAGTTATTTTAAGCAAAGAAGCAACTCACTACTATATTATTAATTCACATAAGCAATACCTGAGCTTCAAACCACACCACCATACCAAACACCTGGAAGTATTTTTCATCCATGCTGCAGTTTTGGACACAAAATAAACTGAATCAAAAGCAAACTCAGGATAACAATACAGTGAAAACAAACCTTAAGCCCAATTCTGGGTATTTACTCAATCTCGAATAAAAGGAATAAAAATATGTAATACAAAACCAGTGAATTCCAAGAGGTATGTAAAAGTACTTTAGTTTGGGTGAGCTTCTCTGCTACAAAAATGCAAACTAAATTACATCAAAACAACACAGTCCAGTTAATTCTTTTAGACAATATGGAGACGCTATCTGTATTATTGCAGGCATTTTAAGTACGTTAAAACATATCTGTGAAAGATATTTTTGTACAGTCACCCTGATTAAACACCTAGAGAAAATTATGTGGAAAAATGATGATGTCTAACACTAACATTCCGATCTTTTGAGACTGTTAAGGTTACAAAACCAACAGTCCAAATGTTGTGAAAGAGTATCTGTCCATGATCATGAATATCTACATACACATCGTATTACAACTCTGTGGTATTTACCATTAGAGAGGATGCAGAGTACAATGAATGCTCAGAGCATCGCTGCACTTCACAAATTAAGTAATTTAATTCACTATTCATAGTGAAATAAAGGGTATAAACCTGCTTCTGGGGAAAAAAAAAAGTAAAAATATTTGTGGAAATACAAGTATTTCTTGTTTGTATTAAGTAGCCTGAAAGGCTATTTTCTTCTCTACAAAGGGAAACTCCTTTGTGATGAAAACAAACATGCTAAAAAATATAGACTATAGATTAGTTCTGTATAATCACAAACTTTCATCACCTTAATTTAAACCAATCTAGCTTAATCCATGGCTTCCATACTGGACGCTTGATTTCATAGAAATAAATCCAAGAAATACTGCCAATAAACAAAGCCTCTAAATATTTACACACCCATTTTTGTATAATATAATTACAAAGGTTTAAGACAGGTTTAATTTATGATGCTATACAGAACTTGCAAGTTTCGCCTTTGAAGTTAACACAACTAGCCAAAACTCCTCAAGATGAAAAGTTTGTTTCACAAAAATCCTCAGATATCACTCACTGGGGTGTGTGCGCATTTTCCCTGCTTTTTCCACAAACAGAAGTAGAAACTTCTCACTCCCTCCATTTCCTCCCTAATTCCCCTTTCTGATCTCCTTTGAAAGACTGTTTCATGTATGTTTTGCCACACATTGAAGTTTACTTTTCAACATGTAAACCCTGTTTCTTACTTTCTAAAAAATGCTTAGAATTATAAAGTCCTGTAATTCTTAAATGCATTTGAAGCCTCCACCATCATGAAAGACAGTCAAAATGAACACGGTATACTGAGAAAAGTTAAGTATCTTTACAAATCTAAGTCCTTTAGTTTTACAACTCTGAAATACTGGTCTCTACACCTGTGTCAACATAAGCTCATGTTCATTAACAAGCTATCTACAGTATTATTGCAAAGTAAGGCTTTTGATTACACAGTAGTCATTCATAAACCTAATCTGTATCATTAATACATGAGTCTGATTCTGAACCTACAACTGAAACTTTACAAATAGAAAATGCAAGTTTGGTCTGTGTCTTATACAAAAAAGTATTCTTAAAGAAACGATGAACTATGCTGCAAGGCCTGCAAAAGTCTTAGACTGCGACGGAAGTTGCCTGCTATTGGATGGGCAACTCTGCAGCCTCTTCACTGTCAACACCAATTTCCATACAAATGCTATGCAAATGACTCTTCAACCCCACATAAAATTTCAATTTCAGCTATTATGATGAAAGTCCCAAAGAAAATTAAAATAATAATAATTTAAAAAATGAAAACCAAAAGCAGAACATAGCCCACTGCAATCTTTCGAAAACTTACTTAATTGAAATTTACATTTTAGCTCTTCCTCTGAATAAATACAAAATAAAAATTTAGATTAGTTTTTAAATGATTTTTTGTGATTTTAAAAATATGACTTTGCACCAATTTTTACATGATAAGCTAAGCACATTAAAGTTTCAACTTCTGGAGCTTTTAAGAAAACTAAAAAAAAAAAAAATCCATTTACTTTGTTGCTACAATATGAAAATACAGTTGGCTTCTTTACATGATTGTCAGAAAGCATATTACATGTAGCCTATACAGAGAACTACAATACAGAACTAAATGAATTTCTGGACTGTCAACTTTAATCATACAGAAGAAAAATTAGAAAAAAATAAAGCCATACAAAACAAAACAAAAAAAAAAAAAGGAGGAAAACAAAATAATCAGATGGTGATCAAAAACAGCTAAATATGGAGATTATCTTAATGTGAAGAACTATTAATTGGTTTTACATTAAAAATGGAGCAGGAAAAAAACTTGTTATCATGAAAATAATTTTTGAAGACCGCAATGATTAGGAAAGAATTTTCTATTCATAACCTACTCTGCTGGAGTGTGACCTGTGATCACATCTTTTGGACAAGAGGAGGGAAGTCTGAGTTATCAGGCAGTATC